GTATTGGAATGGATAAAGAGGATATGGTTGAGTGTTTAGGAACGATCGCGAAATCCGGGAGCAAAGAATTTATGGAAAAGGTTTTCTTTAAGTTAACTCTTGTATAAGAAGTAAACATGATGCTACCTCCAGAACAAGGACAACGCTGAAGCTGTAATCGGTCAGTTTGGCGTGGGATTTTATTCTGCATTTATGGTGGCCGACTCTGTGGTGGTAACCAGCAGAAAAGTGGGTCAGCCTGATGAGAAGGGGCTGAAGTGGACCTGGAATGGGTTTGTACATTCTCTGCAGTTTTGTTACCTTTTCATTAATTGATCCTTTATTTAGTTGAATTTATCGTAAAAGTTTATCATTTAGTATTCGTGTTACAGAGGCAACTCTTATGAACTTTCTGACGAGAAGGGTTTGCCAACCGGTACTCGCGTTGTCATCCACCTGAAACCCGGAGATTCAGCTAGTTTTTGCAAAGCTGATAGAGTGAAAGAGGTGAGAAATTATTACTTATGCTAAGCTCCAGCTTTTTTCTTCAAACCTAATTCTTATTCAATTTTGTAATAGATTATCGACAAGTATTCCTACTTTGTTGCTGCGCCGATCCTTCTAAATGGCGAAAGAGTGAATAGCCTGAACGCGATCTGGACTTTGCAACCAAAAGATGTAACTAAGGAAATGCATGAAACTTTCTTTAAGTAAGCCAATACAGGTATCCCTCTCTATTGTAGTATATCTCATTTCCAGGCAGCTTGCCAAGCAACAAAAGCGCGAGGCTTTTCATCGACCTTGCTACACAATTCATTATAAGGTTTTTCGTTAATTGCATTGATATTGCTCGAAATTTTAGTCTTTGAATTAAATTTTTTGTAGACGGATACCCCAGTATCTCTGCGTTCGGTATTGTATATACCACAGCATAGGTTCTCCATGTTAGAGTATGCTGCTCAAGCTCAGAATCGAGACTGTGGATTGTCGCTTTACGCTAGACGGGTGCTAATTAAGCCTAACGCAAAAGAGCTTTTGCCAAAGTAAGTTGCTGTCAGATTTCTCCATTTTTACTTTGCCAATTCTAAATCCTTTAGAATTTCTTCTTCCGTAAAACAGCACTCGATTGTCTGCTATTTGTTTTTATGACTAAGCTGATTTTCGATTGATATATTGCTGCTACTTAATATTGGTGAAATAATCAGCAAATACACCGCAGTCGCACTGATTGCTCATAGTTTCAATTATTTTGTCTAAAAACTAGAATATTTAGGAGAAATGCATATTTCGCTGGCAAGATCTTTCGTGAATGCGCATAATTGGGGTGCTGCAG